TCTAGAAGACAGAAAGTATTTTTTTTGAGATAGGAAACTAGAGTTTCATAGAGTTTTCAGACTATTTGGCCTTAACCGGTGTGCCACAGGGATCAATTCTGGGGCCTCTTCTGTTCAATATTTACAGGCTGCCATTACGTCAGTTGATACGCAGTAATAACATCTCCTCTCACAATTATGCTGACGACACTCAGATCTATGTGTCCCTGACAGCAGGAAAAAACGGACCAGTGAACAGATCAGTGAGTGGATGCAAAATAACTTCTTCCAGCTAAACACAGAAAAAACTGAAATGAGCGTCATCTGTCACCTACAGTCTCTCTACCTAAAACCCTTAAATCAGTTCAGAAATCTAGGAGTTATAATGGACTAAGTTCAATTTCAGTATCCACATCAACTCCGTAACCCAAGCCCCGGTGATCCAAGATGGCGCCCAATTCAAATGAATGGCTTGTGCTCAGTAGCTCATGGGACTTCACAGAGACCGAAAGATTAGCGGAACTCGTCCATATTTGGGCATCGTCTGGTCCTCCCGGTTCTGCGCAGTGGACGAGCACCCATGATGCGTTGAGTCAAATATGCGTGTGGCTCTTGTGCACGTGCAAAGAGGGGCATGGCCGCGCTTTGACCAATCAGAGCTACACATCAGAGCAGCGGTAGAGTGGAGTCAGAGCGGGAAGGAAACGAGCAGAGTTTATGGCAGTAAAGTGTGGATTTAAAGAAAACCAAAGGATTTAAGAAGAAAAAAAGTTCAGGATGAGAAGGGACACTAAAATTCGAACTTTATGAAAGCTGTAGGTTCTCTGTCAGCTGAGGTTGAGCTTTTTTACTTTACATTGAGTTCATTAAGACTTTTTTTCTGGGTAGCCCGCAAGAATTTAGTCTGCAGTACCACGGGCGCCCCCTGTGCCTATGGGTGGGACAGCTATAAGCTAGTAATACCCTATCCAGTTATTATTATAGATCCATGCTTGCACCAAGGTACATAATGCCGCTTTTTCACGGTGCGGTATGGTACGGCGCGGTTATTTTGCATTTCCACTAGAGTTGGGTACTTTTTTCGCACCACCTCGGCTGTGGTTCCATCCGCGCCGAAGCTACTCCATGACGTGACGTCGGCCGACTGCCTTACACTGATTGGTCAACGAGTCTCGTCCGACCCTATTGTAAAATCAACTCAACCCCGACATCTTTAAAACCGGCTGCTCTGCCATGGATCTATAATAGGCTATAATACGTCATCCTCAATCCAGGGAAATGGAATCGCACAGACAGCTTCAAAAGGCCCTGGTCGGTCGACGAGGTCCACACGTTACTCTCTTTAGGCCGACGAAGAAATTCAAAGGCTGCACGACGGAACAGGCACACGGAAAAAGATTTTTAGGGAGATCGCCCAGCTCTTGATTTGTGACTAGTCTGTGGTAATCCTGGAAATAACTGGTTAGCTATGTATCCCGTTGGCCCAAAGCTCTCACTGAAATGTATAAATTTCAATACTGAATAAAAAAAATACTGTGTAAAAGTTTGATTGTCTGTTGTACACAGTGAGCTACTGTAGATACATTTAGCTATCGATAGCAAGCTAAAACGTCCTTCATGTTCTACTGTGCTGTATTTGGCTCTTTCACATGTTGCCATTCTGTTTTGTGCTTGTACTTCAGTTTTCGTGTGTATATTTATTTGTTTGAGAATCCCTTCCCACAAGTGAGGAGATCACCAACGAGCAATGAGTGACCGGAGTACTTCACTTTCTCCTCATCTGTGCCTGGTCTCAAGAGACATGCACACTTTGGACTCTGTAAACTGTTGGTTTTTCACTTTACTTTTGTTTTTAATAAATCTGTGATTGTATCAGGACTTTGTTTCATTCATTTGTCTGTACACGTGCAGGAAAGGGGTTCAAAAGCAAAAGTTATGATTTCCTACCACATACTTTTACTTCTATTTACATGACATACATGATATTTGTCAGTAAATCCGTATAACCGTGGTAAATTTATGAACAAGGATGGAGACATTTGCTAAACACAAAAGTAAAATAAATGTTTAGGCATAAGAGAAAGCAATGCATCAGACCCTCCTCTGCACCACTGCTACCACAATCGGCTGTTCCCATTCTGTCACAGGTCTCTCCATGGTTTTCGCAGATTGTACAGAGCACAGCAGGTCAGCACCATTGACTTCACATGTTCATTGTCCGAGTCATTCCTATAATAACCCTCTGCCAAAAACATTTTCAACAACCAATCGCGCTGTGCTGAATTTTCTATTAAATACTTGCTGTTTGTCTGTCACTGGGTGTCCTGAAAAGGTTTTAGGAGCCAGTTCTGCGGGTGGCAAGCAGAGTCCCCTCGGAGGTAATAACCAGCTATCACTGATATTATAATGAATCCATGCACCGCACCAGTGTTACTAGTTACACGTCGCGCATAAATGATGTGGTCCGACAATCCCTCCTAAGCTGAAGAGGTACTATTTTTAATGGAAAAGCACCCGCACACGGCCGCGCTGTGCCGTACTGTACCGTTACTGTGGAAAAGCGGCATAGGTGACATGTTAGTCCCATATGAACTGACCCGGACTTTGAGGAGCACTGGGACTGGCCTCCTGCTGGTGCCCAGAGTCAGAATTAAACATAGGGATGCAGCGTTTCAGATTTGTGTGGCTAGGATTTGGAACAGTCTTCCTGAGAATGTGAGACTGGCGTCTACTCTGGCAGTTTTCAAGTCAGGCTTAAAAACAGTTCTATTTAGCTGTGCATACAACTGAATGATTTTATTTTTACTCTTTTTGGTGCACTGTGGCCATCTATGATTTTAATACCATGTGTGATTTTAATGTTTACTTGTGTGATTTTATTTTGTATGCTTTTAATTTAATTTTCTTGTAATCGTATTGTGTGTTTTTAATGCCATATGGGGTTTTTATTGTATTTCTTAATTTTTATGAAGATTTTGAAGTTTATGACTTATGACTGATGTAATATGGGTTATGAGGCGCTTTGTGTTGCCTTGTGAGGGAAAGGCGCTCTACAAATAAAAGTTGATTGATTACAACATTACGGTTTTGTCTTGCTTACACTGTATGCAACTCATGTTTTGAATTTATTATTAGTGAACCTGGCATGGTTTAAATTTTACAAATAGAAACCTATAGAGAATAAATGATATAAATTGAGAGATTGCGGCTTCTATAATTACGAATGCAGCCAACATGTGTTTTGACAGAATACCTTGCCACAAACTGTGATTGGCCTTTCAATAGATTTGACCTCATGTCCTGTGAACGTTAATTGACATACTGTGGAATATTCAGTGCAGTAACATGGAGATGAGCAGGTGGTACACCCTATACAGAAAATGAGATGTGTTCGTATCCTTGGTTGCCTGTTTGTCCATTTCCTGAGATAGCTCCTCATAACACTATCATTCAAATACACATGAAAAAAGCCTAGACATTTTCTACGTTTCATGTTTGAAAACAATACAGAGCATCTGGCTAAAAAAACAGATGCTAAAAATACTTATAGTCAATCAGTTTCTCTTAAGCATTGAAAGTGATCTTTGATGCATGTTTGTAGTTGATATGTGCAAGTGAGCTGTCAGTGGAGATAGGAATACTAATTAGTTGTTTATTCTACGCTTCACATTTTTAAAGCAATAATCTACAAATAGAACCACACTACACACTTTCATAATATGGTAATCTATTCCCTCAGGAAGTTTAGGTCTGAGGTCAATATACTACTGATCCCTGATGATGTGACACCGGAAACTACACTCTTATCTCATACATACAGACGGACGTTTATCTTTTTAGTGAGTGATTTAATTTCAGTTTTAAAATCAATTTCCCTTTAGATAACATAATGAATGAATTCATACACATAATTCATATTCACATAATATATACAATATTTATTACATACTTTGTACATACATTATGGTCATAATAAATATAATGTCCTTAAATAAATGATGTTCATTAAAACTGCACTGACATGGTGAGGACAGTACATCCAATACTTGACAAGAACTTGTTTCACTATGGAACTCTCAACATGAAATCAATAAACATGAAACAAAAGGTTATATCTTGTCGAGACTCATGCCATAGAAAGAGATGCAATATTTAGTGTATCAAATGTCTTCTCTTTACAAATGAACACAGTATGAGTCCATGTGGACATTGTGCCTTCCCTCTACCACATACATTACATTCCCATGTGGTCTGTTGTACGACATCAAGGGTATTCAAGAAGTTTTCTTCACAATGCGATTGGTTTTTTTCATGTTACACCAACATATTTCTATTAGTCTGGAATTTAAAAATGTGGTGGAGGGCAGCTATACCATATGTGCTATATGGTTACTATAGTAACCGTGAAAAGCCCAACTTCTAGCCTTAGTTTAGAGACAATTTCTTTGTAATTCCTGGGCCAATCAAGCCTTGTTAACAGCAAACTAAATATTACATGTTGTGCAGTAAAATAATTCATGATCTTGGCCATTAAAAAGGACTTCCAAACAACAATATGGCAGGTTTGAAAATCAAATGAAGAAATATTTGACATTGTCTTTTAAAATGTCTTCCAAAAATTGATTCTTTCACATAGAGTTGTATTTGCACCTGCCCACCAACTGAAATAGAACTGTAGAACATGAAAACAACCTTTTCTAAACCGGTGCCGTAAAGTTTAGAATTGTTTTTAGATACTTCAAAAAAACAAAAAATATCTCATATTTATGGTGGTCAATTTTGATTCTTATCCTTCTGTTTTTCATTGAACAACAGAGGAAATACAAATATATCCCTTCAAACTTCTCCCTTGAAAGTCCGAGCTTCTTTAGCATCTACATTTGCCAAAAATAAATCCACTGCAATGGCTATCAAACCCAAACGTATTGAGTCTTTCCGCTGGCTCCTTGTACTACTTGAATATATCATTGCTTATGAGTCCATTGTCTTTGTCGAATGTTTGCTCATAGTTTGAGATTAACCTCTTTTTCTTGCCAAAAGTGGAGAAGCTGTTATGCACGTCCAGCTCTCCTCTCGGCGGCAGCTTCAGGGTGCTGTATCCAGATGTGGTGCCAGGGATGTACACATTGTGCTGGTAGTCTGGCTCCTCTGAGTTTGTTTGTGCATATTTTGGCGTCCATGAGTAGTTGGAAACGCTCGCTTCTTGAAGAGATAACTTGCAGTCTGTCAAAAAACATATAAACGCATGCACATTGAGATTAATCCTTCCTCATTTGCATACAGTGTACTTCATTTAAATACAGGTTTTTAAAGTATCTGGCTTTAAAAGGGGAGCTTCTTACAGTGACTAAAATAATCCTTTTGTTGATGCATTAAAATCCCCATTCCCTTGTGGTGCCTGGTATTATCTGCATTTACCATTTCACTTTTAAACTAAATCCTCCACCAGGCACTCAGTGGAGAACCCCCCCCCCCCCCCCTCCTCCCTCCTCCTCCTCCCCAGTGTAAATGCAATAAGCCCTTATTCTAGACAGACCTTTCATATGGGAGCCCCAGGTCCAATACTGCGGTGCAACGGAGCAGGAAAAGCTCTCGCCGTCATAGTTCGGTTGGCGTGAAAGAGTGCCGTCCATATTGGCTGTACTGTATCTGTAATAACATTGTAATATTAGTACTTTTACTACAATCATAACAGCAACCATGTATGAGTCCAACCATAGTATGTGCGTACCTTTTATAAGCAAGGTTGCGTTCATTCTTTGTCCATGTCCAATCCTTGTTAGACGATTTTAGCTGCAAAAAGAAAGCGTTGCAATCATGTTAAGTTTACGTTTCGTTAGAGTTTTTCACAGATGTATGTGTAGTCGAAACAGTATTAAAAACGATATCAGGATGTCACTATATACTATGTTTTACTTTAGCGAGAAGGAACTGGCCCCAGCGATGTGAAATTACTGATACCAGATGGAATTATTCATTACTGACCATCAAAATATGAAGTTCCTCATTCTTAATGCACCATAGACAGCGAGATACTGCAGTACTATTTACCTTTAGACTTTTTATTTTACATTGAATATCACAAATGTTCTCCACAACTAATTTCACAACTTTTAAAGCTGTTGTTTTTCTTTTGAATAGATACAAATTTGCTCTAAACAAGAGTAGTCTATTAAGAATGCATGAGATTAAACTTTTTTTTTTTTTATATATATGTTTTTCTTTTACTGGTAAAACAATTTGTAAAGAATATTTTCCATTGTTGCTAGATCCTATAGCAGTGAAAAGTATGCTCAGAGCAGTGCGAGCTTCACGGAAGGACACATTCTTCACTATGTCATGATTGAACAAAGCACACAATGCATTTTCTGTGAACAAAGCATTTAACCTTCAGCAGAGTTCTTACGTTTTCTTTGTGTTATCTTAGCCAAAGAATAGTTAAGGTTGTCCGATTATAAGTCTTTAAAGAAATTATTCTGCATTGATTTTTGCCGAGCAGCTGCCTGCTATCAAACAAGAATAATAAAAAAATGTATATCTGGAATGGACAACCTGCTGGCTCAGTGAAGCCTAATGGAACCGTGCTCATGAGTGTAGCTCTTTCTCTCTCCGGCTCCCAATCACCAGCTTTGAAAGTCAACATACTTTCTCTGATATCCTTTGTGTCACTCTCTGCTATGCAACATCCTGGGTTTTGACGTTCTCATAGTGTTGGTATTATTTTTGTGATATAGTCTTTGTAAATCAATATATGACCAGTAGTATCCAACATCCCACATTATGTAAATGTGGTAAGTAAGCAGTAAACAAGTAAGGAGTTCTTGCATGAAACATCATTTTTATCTTACACAACAGTTCACATTATTTAAGTAAAATATACAGTAATCAAGTAATCGAGCCAACGATCAAAGTAATCATCCAAACTTAGTAATAGAATAAATTCACACTTTTAATCGTTTCAGCCAAAGGTAGTATTCTGTGCACACTGGAGACTTTTTGCTAATGTATTCCAATGTGTTTTTTTTTACTGCAAATGGCAAATAAACTGAATCTGAATCTGAATCTGAATCTGTATTCACTCAGAGAACCTCCTACTTAACGTCATAAATGGAACAGATGCACCTTCAACCCTTTGTGTTTCAAGGTTTAGTGGGCCTTTCTTTTAAAATAGTGTCCTGGTCAGATATAATTTGATGAATAGGATCTATTAATCTGGCTCCTTTAAAAAAGCTTGGTCTTTTTGTGCATTACCATGGCAACACAATGAGTTCAATAGAAGAGTAATTTGGTCCCTTTTCATGAAAATCATGTTTTTTCCAAGCAAATGTGATGTAGGGCTGCCAAATATATATAACTATTCTGTATTATAAATACAATAAAGTAATATTCACACAGACATCTTTTGTTCCTAGACCCAAACAATATTCCTTCTAGGGAAAAATAATCAAATTGAAGTAATATAAGTATATATATATATATGTCCTAAGAAGTTTTTGAATTTTTAATTAACATTTGCATTTGCGCTTTTTATCTTTCCCCTTAAAGCAATTTTATGTTAGAGCAATTGCAGTTCTGCTGAATCAATTGGACTAATGATTTTGAAATTAAAATTGGTTTACAACGAGGACAATATACTCAAAGAAATGTAGCATGCAGCCAGTTTGTCATACCCAGGATGTTGTATAAACACTACCTTATTTTGGTCTTTGTTTACAACTGTTAATCAGATTATGTGACTAATATGTGTTTCAGTTCTTCTTCCTCCTCAAATATCTCTTATCACCAGCGCACCTTTAATCCCCGCCACCACATAACCAGTATAGACAGGGATTATCGGCCCTAACTGTGCGATGTGTTGTCACAGCGAGCAGAACTGGCTGGGTGCTTCGGAATTGTTAATTTAGTTGCAAAATAGTCACAGCATGAATAGAGCTGCAACTAACGATTATTTTGTAATCAATTAATCTATCAATTATTTTTACGATTAATCGAGTAATCGCTTGGCTGTGAATTGTGTAGAAATGTTTTATTTTTTCATCACAAAAAGCTAAAGTGGCAACACTCGAGGACGTATTGATGGCGTAAACTTAAAGTAAATGTTTGTAACAGGCTCTTTGTGCTAATTCTGCTATCTGATTGGATGAGACAGACAGATATTCATGGAATTATAAAAACAAAGTCGGTTTTAATCAAAAATACTACATTTTCATGTCATTTTTGCTCTGTTTGAGTCCGTGTGAACCAGAAAACGATTAATCGATTACTAAAATAGTTGTCGACTATTTCAATAATCGATTAGTCGTCGATTAATCGATTAGTTGTTTCAGCCCTAAGCATGAATATAGCTCTAAACAAAAAATCCAGTTAAGAATTCAAGCCTTTTTTATAACCTGTCAGTGAATCATTTTGGGGACAATAATACTGATTTGGTAATAAACAAAAAGTGTCAAGGTTTTTGAATGTTGATTTTGTAATTCAAGACACGAACTAACCACAGAATGTAATCATTGAGCTGCCAAGCTAAGAACAGAGCCTGTATTCAGCGGTTTGAGTGGATGAGCTATTTTGTGGAAAGAAGGTTTCTTAAGGTCATTGCCAAATAAAACATCTTTATAATATAAAAATGTCTCATTCAAATAATATCCAATATTATTGCATGTAAAAGGTTCAGTGTTTGTTTGGTTAGAACTCTATCTTTCCTGCTAAATTACAATGAAATAATAATACAAAGTTACAAACATAGACATATACATATTTTTGAAACATTCTGGAAAAAACAAAAAAAAATCTATCTTCTGACACTTACTGGCTCTGAATACATGTTTGGTATGTAACACACTACAAACTAATGCACTAATACTATAGCCCAAAATGTACCTATTTTGATTATAATCACTAACTTTACATTGTGCAACAAATATTTTTTGTTTCAATATCTAATTAGAAATTCTGTTCAGGCAACAGAGATCTGATCTAAACATACTTCCCTCTTTTGTGGAAAACTCATCTAGCATCATATAAGGGAACGTGCTGTTGCTACATAAACATTATGCTGCACTGCAGCTTCTTTAAAGTTGGGGTACCTAACCTTTTGTCATAAGTTGTCCTCTCTTTTTTGCTTTTCTGTCAAAAAAATCTAAAGGTGTGACACAGGCTGAACAATACATGCATGTGAAAACTAATGATAGGACTAAACCGTTCAGAGAGCTTGTTAGATGGATTTCAGGCCAGTTATATTTTTGTGATTTAAAAAAAAGTCTATATTTGACATCAGTTACTAACCTCATTTGGAGATGGTGATGTGTTGTTGGTCACTTCATTCCTGTCCAGTGTGCTCCATCCGGATGTCAAATAATCCGTGCTCTTCACATTATTCTGCTGGACGGACATGACGGGACTGCATGGCTTGAGGAACATGAAGTCACTTTTTGATGCCTCCGGGGTCAAACACATTTTGTAGCAGTAGGCCTGACGTATGGCGTTTGCATTGGCCTCTGTGAGACCATTTGAACTTGGGGGCATCCGAATAGTGAGATTAGACTTTTTGAACACCTCTTTCCCAGTTGATGTGTTGGATCTCGAAGAGCAACAACATTCACTGAAGAACGGCAGAGTGTACGTTCCATTGGCCGGCCTGCCCTTGTACTTCCTCACTGCAACCAGGACAATGATAGCCACCAGAAATGTGAACGAAATGGCGCCTAAGGACATGATTAAGTACAGGGTGAAGTTGGTGTTGTGATTCAGGCTTAGTGACAGGTCACCCAAATCAGGCCTCGAATCTGGCAAGCTGTCCACCACTGACAAGATGATGGAAACTGTAGCCGAGAGCGGGGGCTGTCCATTGTCCTTGACCAGAAGGACCAATCTATGCCTGGTAGGGTCTTTGTCACTAATCTGCCGGATGGTTCTAATTTCGCCTGTGTAGAGAGCAACACTGAACAATGTTGAATCAGTTGCTTGGAGCATTTGATAAAACAGCCTGGAGTTTTGACCTGAATCAGCATCCATCGCATTGACTTTGCTAATGAGGTAACCAGCATCAACTGATTTGGGTACGACTTCGACAGGCGTGGAACCGTTGTGAGTTCTCGGTGATATTATAACTGGGGTGTTATCATTCTGATCTAAGATGAAAATAGTCACAGTGACATTGCTGTTCAGAGGTGGGAATCCTGCGTCGTGGGCCTGGACTGTAATCTGGAAGTTCTTGAGTTGTTCATGATCAAAAGATCTCAATGCGTACAGATTGCCATTGTCAGAATTGATGGACACATAAGTGGAAATGGGCATTCCTTGTATGTCTCCGTCTAAGATGGAATAGGAAATGTAAGCATTTTGGCCTGAATCTGGATCAAGGGCGGTCACAGAGCAGACAGATGCCCCTGGTGCATTATTTTCAGTCAGGTACACAGTGTAGGCTGGCTGCTTGAATAGAGGAGCATTGTCATTAACATCAGAAACTTGGACAAGAATAGTTCTGCGCATAAATAATGGTGGCGAACCCATATCTCTAGCTGTAAGGGTAATATTAAACTCTGCTACAGTCTCTCTGTCCAGAAAATCTGAAGTGACTAAAGTGTAATAGTTTTTAAATGAAGAATGCAGTTGAAACGGAATCAGATTGGGAATTTCACAGTCAACATTCCCATTTTCGCCTGAATCCTTATCTGTGATGCTTACAACTGCTATGACAGTGCCAGGGGGTGCATCTTCTTGGACAGGCGTGGACACAGAAGTTAAAATAACTTCAGGGACATTGTCATTTTTGTCCAAAACATTCACAAGAACTTTACAATGTACAGCTACAGGAGACGGCCCTTTGTCTTTTGCTTGAACATATATCTCATGCATCCGTGCCTTTTCATAGTCAATAACGCCATTGACTTTGATTTCACCTGTATGTGGGTCCACGCTGAAAAGCTGACGCACTTTTATAGGCGCATGGCCACTAAAGGAATAAGTTATATCAGCGTTGGGGCCCTCGTCTAAATCAGAGGCGTTGAGTTTAATGACAACTGTTCCTTTGGGTGCATTTTCAGGCAATCTCACCCTATAAAACGACTGGTCAAACACGGGCGCGTTATCATTCGCGTCCAGGACTGTGATGTCAATTTGCGCAGTGCCAGACCTCTCCGGTGCGCCTCCGTCCACTGCGGTCAGCACCATTTGATGTGTGCTCTGTTGCTCTCTGTCCAGGGGAGTTTGAAGAACAAGCTCTGCAAATTTACTCCCGTCACTCCGCGTCTGGATGTCCAACAGAAAGTGCTCGTTGACGCTGAGCAAATAAGTGCGAAGAGAGTTGGAACCCACATCCAAGTCTTGTGCGCTCTCCAGTGGGAAGCGCGACCCGGGCGTTGCAGATTCAGAAATGTCCAGGTTAAACTCGGTCCACGGGAAGCTGGGAGAGTTGTCATTCACGTCTAAGATTTCCACCTCCACCCGGTAAAGCTCCAGAGGGTTTTCTATGACCACTTGCAGGTGAAAAGAACACGCCAAACTCTGCTCGCACAGTTCCTCCCGGTCAATTCTCTCGTTGACAAACAAAACTCCATTCTCCAAATTAACCTCCACGTATTGTTTCTTTGAGCCTGAAACTATTCGAAATCTCCGCGCAGACAGTCTATTAAGATCCAACCCCAAGTCCTCTGCAATGTTTCCAACAAAAGCCCCGTGTTCCAGCTCCTCTGGGATTGAATACCTAATTTGTCCATTAACAAAGTCCCACAAAAATGCCAAACAAAACACGACTTTGTACCTCCTCCTCCAGAGTCCTTTCCTCACTCCCGGCGTGTCCATTTGTGCTTCCAAACAAAGGAGAAAACTTGACAGTGTTCTTGGTGCAGCTGTGTGTCTGGGAGAACAGAGAGGAGAGAGGATGCTCACTGGGCTATCGCTCAGATTAGTGCGCGCAGAGTGTATATGCATGCGCGCGGTTATTATTGGCTATACTGTTCCATTTGAGGGGAAACGACATCTGTTCGGATAATCTACACCGCCCGATCAAACTATGTGTCCCCTCCCGTCGGCTTAGCTGCGGGTCACAACATATTAATTCAATTCCGGCCGTATCATATTATTTTGGAACATTTTTCAATCTGCTGGAGGCACACCTGCGTATAATAAGCTTTGAAGTTACGCACAGTTTGTATTCTCGCAGCTAAATATTACTCTACTTTATTGGAGAATAGGCTATGAAATTGCAATGTCATGTGAAAGTTATAATGCCAATAACCCTTTAATGTCGCCCCTCCCTGTGCGCATTGTTGTAGTGTTATTAAAGCTTTAAATCTAAATGCTGGATCTAGTATATTTCCGTGGGCGTTTTTACGTCTATGCTTTCATTTGATATATGTCTGTATAGACTCAATGTTCTTAGTGTATTTTGATATTGAATATGTAGTGTTTGTCTTGGCACAACAGTGGATTGAAAAGTGATGAGATGAGACAATATAATATGGATTAAATATATGTTAAAAGTTGTATGCCGTATACTTTCAATGCAAGCAATCAAGCACAAATGGAAGATGTGCATACTACCACAGCTTGTGTTATATCTGTTGGACTGGAGCAAAAAGAATAATAAAGAAAATCTATCAACTTATTCTTTTGGGGGGAAAAAAAGAAGAAAAAGGATGGAGAAGAGAAAGCCTTTGAATCCAAAGCAAAGCCCAAAGCAAAAAAGTCCATAAAAGTGGTTTAACTTCAAATACTCTAAAAATACTGACACGTCTCTAAAGATACATACAGTAATTCTATGTCAGTGTTTGAAGTGGGTGAGTTGTAAAGTTGTTCCGGAGGGGTGGCTCAAATTCCCAGACAAGTGAAGAGGAGCCGTTCATAAAACAGAATTTTCAGCACATTTTTGAAGCACATTTCATTTCACATTAATACCCCGTTGTTGCATCTGTTTACTATCCACCTCGGTGCGCTCTGAAAATCTCTGCTCCCCTGGTTGGAGCTGCAATCTGTCTGCATAGGAACTGGGAATGCAGCGGCAGCAGATGGTGTAGTTGTCCACGGGCTCATGCTCTTTTTAATTAATGGAATGGAGATTAGAGGGCATTTCCCTGGATCATTAGTGAACAGAGGAATTAAGACATTTTGTGAGAAATAATCCCAGGGCTATCCATGCCGTGCACATGTGGTTTCTTCATATTGACCTGCTTTTCACAGCCCTTAAGTGCATGGCATCGCTTACGCAGCACGCACAGTAAGTAGCCATGTATAAGGGGGACAAGCCACACATTTAGGGATCAAAAAACACAAAAGAGATTATCTTTGTGTAGCTGCATATCCTACACACATAACCAGAGTCCACGCCCACTCACTTTAGCTCACTCAAGGGCAAGTACAGATCCCCTTGTCTTTAACTACTTTTCAGCTTTTAAACTCTGGGATTAAACAAGGTTAGCCTACATTTCTAGAACGCTTAAGCGGGTTAAGTTGAAATAGTGTCATGCATCGCCCCTGTTAAAATAGCAGTAATATTATTTCAAAATGAAACAATAAGGAATCACCCATGCCATCCAGCATGAATATGAAGTCCCATACCTATGGATAACTTGTTATGGCCTACATATGACACTACAAAAAGTGTTCTTTACTGCATCTGATCATCTCTTTAACCTCTTTCATCAGAATTACTTTATTGCTTTGTATATAAGATAAGATAAAATAAATTGTACCTGTCAGATTTGGCATAGATAGAATAACTCATGTGCAAAAAGAGAGACATGTTACAAAGGTAAAAACATTTCTAGAGTTTTCATAATTGATTGTTCGTTCGTTCTTAATAGCACACGTCGTTCTAAAAAAGTAGAAAGAAGTTTAGAGGATTTATAAGTGCCACCCTTAAAGCCTAAGTGCATTAAATATACAAAACACGATCATCAAACAGCATGTATTTAGCAGTTGAGAAAAGTGCAGATTTTAATACAGTGCCTTGAAAAAATGTATAATACAGCTTGAACTTTTGCACATTCTGTTAAGACCACAAAGATTTCAGCTTTGTTCCTCAATTTTATAAATCAACAACTGAAAAGTGAGGTTTGCATCAGTGACCATACTGAGTTCCTTTGAAAATGACCTAAATCCGGAATGCTCACATCTTGCCCTAACCTTTAAAAAGAGCCCAACTGTTTAAAGTGGCATGAAAACATATCTGACTCGTTATAGGAATTACTCACATTTCTGCTTATAATCACCATCAAAAGTGATCTGGTCTTTCTCAAAATCCAACATCTGATTTATGTACACTGTAATAAGTGAATCAGACCAAACTTTGATGTAAAATATTTTAAGTAATTACTATATACTTCATTTTCCACTCTTCTATATTTTTTGTTAACAAATAAGTACTGTATAATATTATCATAGCACCCTGTACAATACTGATTTTATTGCTTTAAGTGAAAATACTTTAAATATTTCTTCTTTAAGCCTGGTGGGCCATTAATGACAAAACAAATATATTGTGTTGATTGAAAACAAAATGTGGCGAAGCAGTGATGCTACCCAGAATGCATTGCAGAGCAAAATATAAACTTCTTAAAAATACTACATTTGACCATTCATTTTAAGAATGAATATGAAGTCCTAAAGCAAAATACTTGAGCAACATTTTGAATAAACTAAGTTGATCAAATAAGTCATTGTGTTTACGAACCGTGATCGACAGGGTCAAGCCAAACTACCCCTCTACACCCTGG